TCCATTCACTCTCTTTTGACGTTTCTGTATGGGAGATGTGTGGCGCGTTATTTAATGGATGCCAGCTGGCAATTGTGCCTCACAATATCAGTCATTCTCCTCACGAATTCTATGAATGGGTCTGTACTAATGGTATAACCGTACTCAATCAAACCCCCTCCGCATTTAAAATGTTTATGCAGGCGAAAAATATTAGTTCTATGTCTGATCGACTTCGATTCGTGTTCTTCCGTGGTGAAGAGTTAAATCAAATGATTGTGAAGAATTGGAGCGAAAATAATGCCAATAGTCAAACTATACTAATCAATATGTATGGCACTACAGAAACGCCAAGTGCCATCCACGGACGAGTTGAAATTTCGAAAGATGTTCATCCAATTGGACGTCCCTTCTCAGATCTTTGTGCTTATTTGCTCGATCCACACGGAGAGCCGATTCCATTGGGAGCCGTAGGAGAACTTTATATTGGCGGTGCTGGTGTGGCCCGTGGCTACCTCAACCGACCCGAACTTACTGCGGAACGCTTTTTGTGCGATCCATTCAGTGAAAGTCCAACAGCACGCATGTATCGTACTGGTGATCTGGCACGCTATCTGCCAGATGGAAATCTGGTATATCTGGGACGCACTGATCAACAGATTAAAATCCGTGGTTTCAGAATTGAGCCCGGTGAAATTGAGGCCCGTTTAATGGAACATCCTTCGGTGTGCGAAGCGGTTGTACTGCCATGGAAGGACGAGATTGATAGTGATACCCGCCTTGTTGCCTATTTAGTGGCTGATCCTGATGCATCACTAGCTAACAATCTACGCAACCATCTAGCATCTTTACTTCCTGATTATATGGTACCGGCGGCTTATGTTTGTCTATCGTCTTTGCCACTCACGCCAAATGGTAAGCTAGATCGGCGAGCACTTCCAGCGCCGGGCGATGAAGCATTTGCTCGTCAATTATATGAAGAACCGCGGGGTGAAATGGAAGAAAAATTGACAGCAATCTGGAGTGAACTGCTGGGTATTGAGCGTATTAGTCGACATGATAATTTTTTCGCGCTTGGTGGCCATTCTCTTCTAATCGTAAAGATGCTGTCACAGTTGCGACAAAGTGGACTGGACACCAATGTTCGGGAAGTATTTGATGCACCCTCATTAG